TATAGAAGATTGATTTTTGTGATTTTTGCAAGATTTTTCGAATTGCCCCCACCTTATTCATGAATTCATGCTCCATTTAAAGAGCTAATCTTAAGTTCAAATCCCAAAAAATCTAGGATTTCAAAAAGACTTTTAGGGAATGGTTGAAAAAAAAAAGGATGGCAGGATGGATTTTTAGACTTTTGCTTTTGTCATCCATAAGAATTTTTTTTTTTTTTTACTTTCTTACTTCCTCTTTTTTTTTTATATGATTAATAAATAAAATAATATTAATATATAATATTATTTTATTATTTGAACCCAATATATAATAAATGTGATTAAAATCTTTGATTGAATTTAAATTGGATACGAATGCAATTTGGGTTAATTTTGATCAATCTAGACAAAATTAAGTATCTATAAGTACAACCTTAAGTTCTTAAGTTACTGAGATTGAGTTTTTTACCAATCCATAATTTATAAAGAGTGTTTATAATTGATTTGGAGAATACTGAATATATAGACAGTTGATAATAATATTTTACCCCAAAAGTGATTTGCAAATTCACTTGGGCTAATATTGATCTAACCATTTCCAGAAGAATTTTATTTTTTTATCTCTACAACATTGTTTTGTTATGATGTCATTGGAATGGTTAACTATTTATTAATACCATTTTCATCACAAAAAAGTCTGAACTAATCAAACAAGTACTTATATCCACAATTAGTTTCAACGCCTTAATGCTTTTATCTAATTGATTTTTCACTAAGTCCATATACTTTCTAAAGCATTTTAAAGTTTTAGACTTATGAAGAATCAAATAGATAAAACTAAAATTGTGTTATCATCAATAAATGTGATAAAATATTAACCTCCATTGCGTGTCCTTACATACATTGGGACATAAATATCGAATGTATCGGTTTGCAATGAAATTTTAACTCTAGTTTCTTTGTCTAATGGTTTTCTTATCAGTTATCTTGCTAGACAGTTTACGCATAATGGCTGATTAACATTTTTATATAAGGCATTATAATCCCTCTTTTGCTAATCTATTCATTCTTTGTTGACCTATATGGCTAAATCTAGCATGTCAAACATTTGCATTATTATTGGCATCATAAAACCATTTAATAACTATCAAGATCCATAACAATTTATTTTCAAAAAAAAAATCCATATGAGTATTATTAAAATTCATAACAAATCTTAGATAAAAAAACAGTGACAGAAACTAAATTCCATCAAATTTCAAAAGCAAACAAGACATTATGTAGGATGAGAGTCTTTTTTATCTTACATACTTAACTTGTAGGTATCAACTCCTTTTTCTTCAATCTTTTGATTGTTTTTTACATATATACATTTTGCTTATGTCTTGTGCCTATATGGTTTATGGTTCATAAGTCTTATTTGTCTCGTTACATTCATAAGCAAAGTGACTTTTTTTACCACAATTAATACACTTGATTTTAGTTTTGTTTTTCTTAGATTGAGCTTTGGGATCATTCTATTTGCCACATTTACCATTCTTTGATATTTTAGGAGCTTTCTCTTTATTCTTACCATGTGGCATAAGCTTGAAGCCCATAGCTTCCTTTGAACATACGAATGCCATATACACATCAGGTACTAGGTTTAGATGCTTCTTATACAATCTTTTTCTAATTAAAAATGACGAGAAGCATAATTGAGAGTTCTTATACTTTCATTATGGATCAAGTGTTCCTTAATGTGCTCTTAATTATGTGGCAAGGATTGAATTATAATTTGAACCTCTTATTCATTTGTTAAAGTGTGATTAGCCTCATTTTTAAACAAACTTTATTATCAAGGCACTCCACATCTCTTTTAGCAATATCATGCAATCTTAAGTTACGTATGATATCATTCTCTATACTATTTAGGAACGTAATGTGAGCAATGAAGTTTTTTCTATCCAAGCTTCACAAGCCCTTGGTCTCTTCTATGTTCGGACATATTCCTATACTTAGGCTCTGCTAGGACAATATTTAGAATTTCAAAAACCTATTATTCTTCTAACACATACTAGATTTTCATAATTATCCTCATTCAATAACCATATACTTAAATACAAAAACTATATTCAAAGGATAATTCAATATTAAGAGACCAATGCATTAATTGATGCTAAGCATTACACACATCTATTTTGCCATAATGTTACAAATGAAATGATGAAAATCATTCACATAAAAATGAAACCAAAAGGTCACTATATTCGTAATCAAATTTTATTTTTTTAATGTATTTGATTATCACTTATTTTATTTCAATGTGTAAAATTTATCATTCTAAGATAGAACAAATCAATTATCTTAGAATTCCTACTAACCATAAGGTTACCTTCAATTAATGACATACTTTAATTGAAATTCACATAGACAAATTTCATATAACAAATACTTATTGAATACATGAACAAATATCATCTTTAAATAAATGTGATGTTTATTAAACTATGTTCCCAATTAGTACTTATCACTTGTCTAGTGATTCGGATGGAATCCATAAATTTCTATAATAGTTCCACATTTTTATTAACCATCTATGGAGATTTAAGAATTTTGTATGTGTCATTATGGAGACTTGGGCCAATAAAGAAAGTTGCATTTCTCTTCATCCCTTTTTCACAAAATCACAAATTTCTTTATCAAAGTTGTAATATTAGGATATTTCCTCTCCTTAGACATCCAAATATTTTTGAAAAGATTATTTTGTCTAAGTATAAGAGCGTATCTATTCAACATCATGAATATGTTTTAAATCCTCCTTACATACATGTTACCTTATAAGATTAACTCTTTAATCTTGTCATTAACCCTTGATAACATGACACACGATATCATAATCATTTGGATCCATTTAATATTACGCTAAATCAATTAGCAACCTTATGGTTCTAAGCAATTACGCCTAAGTACTTATAACAATAGGAGTTTTCACAATTATTGTCATGATTTATGTAACATATAAACAAAAAATTTCATGAACACATACAAGTCTCATCATGATTAAAATATATCTTAATAATTCTTGTGCTTTTCAACCTTTTAGAGTTAACCAAGAACTATCAAAAAATTTTTTTAAAATATTTATTTATTTAAATTTTTTTTTCAATCTGTTAAAAATGACAAAGTATTTGAATACTTTCTTGGAGAATTCGAAAGCCTATTCAAAACATACATTAAAAATTAACATTTTGCTTAAAGCATTTAGATGCCTTGTCAAGCATTCTAATGAGTTTTGAAAATTGAAAACTCAACATAAAATAATCCAAATGACAATGGCAACTTATAATTGAATATTTCAAAGCATTCATAACAATTTTCTACAATAAAATTACACACTTTTATGTTCCATAGATTTTCGAACACATTTTGGTAAAAGCTCAGAAACATACCTATAATTTCAGTGTTTGAAGATAAACATTGAAATGATCAGGAATCAAGTCAATTTGGCTTTGATACCAATGATGGAAAATACAATAATATGATATGAACATCATCATATATCATAAATAATACATAAGGCTTATTTGAATTGTGAAAGCATAGCAAAACTGATGCTAACTTGATTCACAAGTCGGAGATAAAATCACACATTCGAAATTATCCATTATCTACAGCATAAATTCTTAAACATTAAAATATGAGATTTTCGGAGAGTTGCAGGAATATCTTATTCTTTTGCTTTGTCGATAATTCTCTTTTTCTTCTCTAATTTTATATGTGACTCATCACATAATCTCATATATATATATATATATATATATATATATAAGACTCATCTCATTATTGATTTTGGATGAACACATTCACCCTTTTAACATCATAATCAAATATCATAATTCTTTTTGAGAGAGGAAGAATCTACCATATCTTTTTTTTTTAATCATCTATTTTTAATAGCCGAATGCCATCGGATTTGGAAAAGGGAGAGGCAGTTTTCAAAAAACAAATTATTAACTGCCTTTGGCAATTTTCATCTTAGTTATCAATGTAGAGTTTATCCTCCCATTATGAATAGATATTTCCAACAGATGAATCTTCTTTTATTTGATTCTTTTAAGTCTAGAATTATATTATTAATCTTAAAACCATACTTTAAATTATTTAATAATTTAAATAAATCTATCTATCTAAATTTACTCGAATTAGTGAAAATTCGATCACCAATTTACACACAAATCAGGGTGTGTACAGCTTATAACAAATTGGTGATAGAATTATTCTGAGCACTATGGTGTAAACATTATGTTGCTGCAATGCTTTTTATTCCTTCACAGATGAGCTGAGGCTGAGATGTTGAAATATGTCTTTCCCAATTCAGGGGTCAAAACATGGTCGAAGGTCTTTTGTGTGGTTTTTTTAACAAAGTCATTGTAGTGGAGTTCACATTTTTTGTTTTAGAACTTTTCGTACAAATTCATGCTTTAGTCATCTAAAAAACCCAGAATAAAGCTATGGATATAAATCCAGGATTAACCATTCTCACCCAAGTGGCCTTTTTTTTTTCCTTTGAACTGTTTAGATAGAAAGAACTTAAGCCACTTCAGAAGTTCAGCACCATGATCCAGGTTTAATTGACTCAAAGTGAAATTCATCAAACTTTGCTTGAAATCAGTCCATGTCAAAAAGTGACAAATCCCTTAATTTTTATTTCACTTTTAGAGTTGTTTAAACTGAAAATCAATCTTGAAATATCCAGGAATTTGTATTAATTTGCTTTTTTTTTTTTTTTTGAATTCTTGGACTAGGGGGCAACTGAACCATCTAGAATGAATATTATGCGTGTAAGCATAGTTTTTTTTTTTTTTTTTAATTTTTACTTTTTATGTAAAATATAAAGAACTGAAATGTGTACAGCAGAGAAAAATGAGCCAAAAACTTTGGATGGATTCAAAGTTCCAGCCTTTCACACAACTGAATTATAATGGTTTTATCCCAATTTTCGGCTAACCCATCACCAACTACATGAATTGTAGATATTGAACAGATAAAGAAGGGTTCTTGCCAATTTTGTTTCCATGTCTGTCAATCCATCATTTACAAGACATAAGAGAAAATTGGTGTTGATGAAGTGTCTATTCATTACTGTTTTCTTCCAATATTTTTTCTATGGCTTTAATTAAACCTAATGCTAATGAAAGGCTCACTTCTAGCAGTTGACTTATTATATATTGGCCGTGACAGAATTCCAGTGCTTGATTTTTTCTCCTTTTTTTCCCCAAAAAATGCCAAGCATTAACATTTCTCTCCCGAGATTCTTATAAATTGCTTTCATTGATGTTTGTATTAGTCATTGATTTGTGAACCAAATGAGCTTCATTCGATTGATGATTGATGGGGTAATGATGCAACTCCACTTGCCAATTTTTTGATTACGTGAAACCATCATGCAATTCCACTCGATCTAAATCCAAGAAAAAAACAACACAGCGGAAAATGAAAGATGGGTAATTTCAACAAGATAATAACAAGAAAGCTAAAATTTTCACACTGTAATATGAAAACCACGCTCTTTTCGATGTATCCTCTTCATTACAGATGAGTATACAATGCAGAAGCACAAGGGAATGCCCAGCAACACCGATGTGGTTCAACACAAAAGAATTCCATCTGAAAGAAGAATCCTGTCTATCACTCAAGGATGCCTCAATATCATCAGATGAACACAAAAGTTTGAAGTAGAAGAGACCTGCCCTTCATATTTTATCATAATACTCAAAATACAAAGATCAGCAATAACAAGGTGCACCAAGCATCATCATGGCAAGGCAAGATCAAGATCAACATTTCAATGTAAAATCGGACTGATTAAAGATGATTCATCGTTGGCCAACAAGGCAAAAAAAAAAAAAAAACTTTTAGTCAATAGCTGATGCTGCTATCCATCTTTTAGATTGTATCTTCATGAAAGTCAGTACTGTGTCTTTATACCAGAACGCTTAATCTATACGGAAAAAATCATTTTGAGGCTTCAGTGTCTCAATCACGATATGAGGGTATACAACCAAGCCAGCCATAAACAGTGTGAACTGCAAAAATACAAAATAATAATTAGACAGTTTCCACAGGTGAAATCAGTCAAGTGAAAAATGTGATACGTACCAAAAGAGGAAGGGTCAAGAAACCCCATATAGGCCACAGAGCAAAACAGAGCCCGTATGAAAAATGTTGGCAAAACATGAAAAGAAATTTGTACATATGCCACCCAACAAATCTATCCAGAAATAACACAATTGTTTTTCTTACAAGCAAAAGGAGATAAGTCCAAGCAAGGTAAGAAATGGCAAAGTTGTAATGCTTAACAACTCCCACTTTTCGTCAAACCTCCTTACGCTCCATGCTAACATGCTTGCATAAAAGAACATGGCAACATTCAATCCCATCCCTACCAAGCCAAGGTATAAAGGCATTCTGCACAGAAATTAAATGACATAAGATGGGAGATATATAAGTTGAATTGCAGCCATGAATATATGCACAGTACTGTTGAGCAACTACAAACCGAATATGAAAAAAATAATCATTAAGGCAAACTGCAAATGCAGCAAATGTTTCAACTCATAACTAGCAGAATTATTGGGACCATTCAATAGTTAAGCCAGCCTGTTGATGAATGAATAATGAAAACAATCATGTAATCACAAAATTTACCAAAAACATAATTAAATTCTGATTGTCTGCTACATTACAGATAGTTTATCCATTGTATGTTAGATAAATTGGAAATACACTCAAATCAGTTAGGTTTGATTCACAGCCACAGGAGATAGCTAGATAAATGTAAAGAGCATGGAACAAGCCTTGGGGAAACCGGAATCTCATCACTTCTACAATTTTACATAAAAAGTCTCAGCTAAAAAGAAAGAGGAAAAGAATAACTATTCCAATTCAAAGGGGACAAAGATGCTATCAATAGTTTTTCCAATGGTAATGATATGATTGAAGGAGTCAGAAGAAGAAAAAGTGAATTGCATTTCTTGCAAAAGTTCAACAATTTAAGATTCCAGTTCTGAACAAGCCCATCACTCCATTTTGTTAAGAAGTGATCACTGATCATTGTGGCACTTTCTTGATAGTACAACTGGATGAGACTTGAGCCATAATTTTTTTATGGAACTTGACAGAACCCAGGACAATTGTGTTTTAAATGGAAAGTTCTCACAAAGCTCCTAGTTACTTTATAGGACGAAACTTCACATGTCTAGCAATAAGTTCAACATGTCCTTCTGGCAGACATAATGTCAAAGCCATGTAAAGGAACTTAAAATGCAAGATCCTGCATGATTATAATATTCCTACATTTGGATCTCTCTGATCTCAAAAGTCAAAAAGTTATTTATATCATGATCTATATTCTGGTTCTGTTCCATAATAGATTGTACAGAATGAAATGTGCAGCACAGCTTACACGGTGATACTAGTAAAATTCGACTTAGCAGAACATGAGAAATAGCTAGATAAGACGTATTTGCCTTTAGTTTGTCTAGTTTTATATCCATTATGATGTCCCAGGTTAGAAGAAGTGCCTCATCACATGAGAGGAATGCACATGTGTCACGGACCTAAGGAAAAGTCCTGAATCCCACATCGAACATAATAGGAAGGTTACTGGGGTATATAAGGGTTCACACCATCTCTGCCTTGTGAGGCACCTTTTGTAGGACAAAACTGTGAGGCCAGGGGGTCAGAGTGGACAATACCTCACAAGGATGTGAACCGTGGCAGGAAAGCTGATCTGGGACGTCGGAAGGGTGAATGCCCGGGTCTCGGAGCCGCGCGGGTTCGGAGCTTAAGTCTCGACCCGTGACACATGGATTATTATAAATAGAAAAACATAGAACATGAGATGTTTCTATATCATCAATTCATCATACAATTATCAACTGAAAGTCTTCATCCTGAAGACATTGTACATGTAAGAGTGTTGACATATACAATAAAGTCTTAATCATGACAAAATAGATAAAAAAAAAATGAAGCAAACATTGCTCATGTACAGTAAAGTACTCAATAAGCAAATAATTCGTTTCTTCCATTCTTTTGTAAACAATATGCTAGTTCACAAAGAGCTTGATTTTATAATGTGGGTGTGCACACACGCATGCATAAAAACATACACATAGTTGAATGCTCACATACACAAAGTAAAGAAGAGACAGAAGATTAGATATTACAAGTTTCCTGATGGCCATAAAATATTCACATCAATCGGTTTTTACCCTGTAATATTTAAAAGAAAAATTGTCCAAAAAGGTAAAGCTTGTCAAAATAAACTTCTTCCACACATTGAAATATCACAAAAATTTTATATATTATCTCTATCAACAACAGAGCAGCCTCCATTATTGAGCTGGTGCTGCCTGTTATATAAATTCCATGCTAAAATTGATACGAGCAGATCTTCGGCACAAAAACAATCATTCAACAAGCCAAAAGCTTAACTACTAAAGCAGAGTTAAGAACAAAGCGCAAAGCAGCACTTAAAATATATACTTGGAGCTCTGGAACAGCAATGTAGTTCAACTTTTAGGTCCACCAAGTTAGTGGTTCAAGCACTTCTCCCATTTCAGCTACAATTTCAAATGACTACAAAACACTTTGACTTTTGAACCAATTAAACCAGCATTTACAACAAATCTGAGGGGCCCTTTGGAATTGTTGTTTTTACTTTTAACTAGTTTCTCCAATTGTGGTTACAACTTTAATTAGCTCCATGCACTTTGACATCGAAGCAACCAAAGCAAACATAATAATGAACCTTGTCAAGGGCCATAATCAGTTTTCAGATACCGTTGTTATATAGAATATGATATTAGCAATTATTCAATAGACAAACAACATAATTCAAGCATCATAAGCACTTAACTAACAACAAAATTCTCATAAATCATACATAAGATGCAAAATACGAGTATTCTAAACCCCACTAAGTTAAAATTTCCATCCAATTAGTTACCTTCTGATTCGCTCATCGTGCCACAATAGACATATCAAATTGGAGTGCCTATCACCAAAGTAGATAATGAACAATGCTGAACCAACCCAAAGCACATTCTCCAGAATCTCAGTCCAACTCCTAGTTCTCGGAGTTGCTGATGACAAAGGTTGCAACCTTGAGCAAGCATCATCCTCAAGGTCCTCATCGCCTGATGCATATCCTTGACTATGCCTTTGCCTCATATATCCACCAGCAACAGGTGTACCACCAGACACGTTTTACCCTCTCACACAAGATTAACCCCCAAAAGGAAAAATCAATGTTTTCAAGAACTAAAACCCCCTCACTTCCTGGAATGGAATTTCCATAAATAATCTAGTAAGATGTGTACTTTCTACTGTGAAACCCTACTCCAATGTCAAAATCACAATCTTTTTTGAATCAAAACTCAAAGGAATATAATTGAAAATAAATGAAAAATTATTCAAGAAACCCAGACAGCAATTTTCAATTTTTATCATCTAATAAAACTCAGTAAACAATCTATAAAAAATGAATAATGAGAGTTTCACTACAAACCCATCAACAAGCCCCACAAAATATCCAAAACCCAGATTCACCTTCTCCTCGATACTCACATAATTGTTTCCCTTGGCTCTAGTCATCAATACTGCAAGAAAAAATGGTGTACTAATAAACATTCAAAGAGGATAGTTCACTCTTTTGATATTTTCAATTCTGCGCTAGAAAATAGTACGTTAAAACATGTGTCGTTTTATAGGTGACGACTAGTATCTCTCTTAAGTACAGAACTAAAAGACTGAAGTCATGGAGTGATTCGTTCCTTGTCTTAAAAGAAAAACTGTGTTTTTTCTTTTTTTTTGGGAATCAGAAGGTAACTAATTGGATGGAAATTTTAACTAATTCCTTGTCTTAAAGGAAAAGCTGTGTTTTACCTTGATGGAAATTATTTTTTTATTTTTTATAATAATAAATCATAACGTTGTGATTAAGGTCAAATGAAGTCAACGATGATAATTCGTATTTGATTACGTGGTGAGAGGTGATTGGTGGGGAATGTTGAATGTCAAGGTTTTGTTTCTTTTGGCTTTGACTCTGCAGCAAGGAAGACAGGAAAGGTCTTTCTTTTTGTGTTTTAGTTTAGCAGGCTTGAAAAGCAAGATTGGTAGGGAAGCTTGGCCACAACTTCATTAAAAATATATGATTATCTTTCAATTCCAGCTGCCTAATTAAAGGGAATTTTGCCTTTCCAGACTGAGCTGGAATGGGTGAGAATTGGATAAGAATAAGATTTAATTAATCAAAACTTGCATTGTATTAAGAATTTGGGTTTTTTTTTTTTTTAAGTGTATGAAACTTGCAGGTTCGATTTCTGATATCGAACACTCTATCAATACACTATGATTTGTTGGTAAAAAATTAATTTTTTTCTCCAAAATTCTTGTCAAAGGTAGAAAGAAAATTGAAAATGAGAAAAAATAGCTCTGTATGGTTCTTTTTTAACTGTTTATACCATTAATTCAGGATAAAACTTGCATTTTTATTCTTATGAAGAAAATTATTTGTACATGAAGTAAAATTTAATCCTTAAGAATGAAGGATATCAGTTAAATAAACAAACCTGAAATCTGGAATGATTTTCGTATAACAGAAATTTGAAGTTAGGAGCACTTTCCAGAGAGGCTGCTTGAACATGAAAGCACCTTCTGATAATTTTGATGCACTTCTAGCCAACTCCTCTTTGTCTGTTGTTTGAAATGAAAGTGACCTTTTTTTTTTCTTTGCTTGGTGAACAGCAAACGAAATGAAAGTGACCTAACCTGGAACCTCGTCGGGCTTCTTTGTAGGAACCTGTCTGCTTAAATCAGTTCTAAGCTGTAACCTCAAAGCCTCTAATAAATTAATTAAGCTAAAGTACTTCATTCCAATTGCTCGCTAGAAAAGATCAAACATCACTTAGTGATAAAAAAAGAGTTGTGAAATTTAAAATTTGCTAATGCAATTATTTTTAAAAAATAATATATAATAAATTTGAAGTTTAAATTTTTTATTTATAATTTATTTTTTCATTTTTAGATTGCAATTAAAGGTGTTCATTATATCTGTTTGATTAATTTCGAAACAAATAATCAAAAATCAAATTAACCAAATTATATTATTTTATTTTTGTTAATCAAATAAAATATGTTAATTTAAAAAATTAATCTATCAAATTTAATTCAACTAATTTAATTAATTTTTTTGATTAATTGAACATTAAATATATTTCAATTAAATTAAAATTTTAATTTTACCAATCAAAATTAATTAAATAACAAATCAATTAATAAAATTAAATAAATTTTATCGATTAATTTGATTAAAATCAAAATTTGAACACTCAAACCTACGACCTCCTTTGTACTAATAAGAAAGAAAATGCGGGAGCTAAGACTGTTTGGAGGAAAACCGGAGTCGAACAAATCCACTGAAGATGATTGAAAAGGATATTGATGATTTTGATCACCATCAACAACTGCCCATTTACAACAATCTATGCAATTAGTCGAATTCGAGTCATCTATTAGTAAAGGGTACCAAAGATCGAAATTACTTGCCTAATCATTCCAGAAGTAATATTACATGTGATGTTGATTTGATTATGAAAACCAGTTGAATGCGAAGAAATGTTAAAGAAACTTACGCAGGCTCAATGGTTTCCACCTCCACCGCACAAGCTAACCAAGTCCATCAACGTTGTGTATAATACATCCAACGATAAATGCCCCAAAAACTTTCGATACTCAGATGCACCGTCATACATGTCCATTTGAAGTTTCCAATCCTCTGCAAATCCATCTTCCATCACTAACCACCAAGAGATGCATCCTTGAATGTCTTCTGGGTCCACATGTGCCACCAGGCTAACCGTATCCCCCTGTTCTAGCTCAAAAGTCAAGCACAGAAAATCACGATTTGTTTTTATTCCCACCATAAGAGCTTCCTCGTGAAGCCAACGAATTACTTGGCTTGCAACCTGTAACCGGAGTCAAGGACATGTCAATTACAAGGAAGGACTATATCAGCAGAATATCTAGACGTGCACATACATCCATTTTCTAATCACACCTCCAGAGGAATGAGTAAACATGATGAAATAACAGCATATAGTCTAAACCCACCAAAAATAACAAGTTAAATAGAAAAATTCACAGTTAATTCATGATTATGCAACAACAACATATTTTGTTGTCAATATCTAAAAGTTGTATTTGGTAGGCAAGAAAACTTAGGCTAGTGGTAGAAAGTGGAAGATGAAAATAATTTTTCTATCGCTTGGTAGAAGAGAAAACTGAGAAAACAGCAAATATGAGAAATAGGAACATATTTCTCACACTAAGAAAAGAAGTAGCATCTTTTACTTTGACATTTCATTTTCTCCTCATGCTTCATTATCAGCCCCCGCTTCCCCTTTAAGCAGAGGCACCTCATCCACGTTATAGTCTAATCACTTCAATCTAAGTAAACACTCTCAGGGTAACCACATGATAGGTGCTTACACAACAAAGTAGGATGAGGAATTTACAGTATCCTGGTCAACTTTCTAAGCATAAATTATTACGTCAATCAAGTATTACTAATGATTAATTTCAGGCTCTCAGCATGGGGAAGAGTAATGATTTACACTTTAGAAAACAGAGTTGAGTACATTCAGACATTTGCCAAATGATAGTAGTATAAGCTACTACAAATAACTGAGTGGCAAACATTTTCATCTTCTTATTCAAAATTTAGGTTGTTAGTCAGCCTATTACGTTAATTTTGTATCAGATATCAAATTAGATGTGGATCATGTCAGCATTAATAGTCAATTTAAACCTTCATAAACAGTGTTCCCAGAATAAAACTTAGTGATGTCATTCCAAGAAATCAACAATAGAAACCTACCTGCTGCAGTATTATAACAGGAAGATCAGCTAAGTCACAATCATATTTGTTTACAGAACATATGTCCTCAGAACTTCTTTTGAACAGGCCGACAACGTTAGGAGCACCTTCCCCTTCAACATTGATGCGGTCATCATTCACCACCACCTTGGTGCGAAATTGTGATTTTATAGCATCCTTCACGTTCTGGAAGTCTGATTTTGGGGATTGGGACTCTACATGAAGAATGGACTGAGGAACTTTCATAAAGATTGTCCAGGAAGATGTCCGAGAATGCCAAGTGGGATGGGTCATCAAATGGAGATATGGAACCCTGCAAACCTGCAGATATCATGGAAAATTAAGCTATGAAATAAGAAGAATAAAATCTAAAGAAATCTTGTGCATAATCCATGTCAAATGATTAATGAGAAAAATACCACATTCTCCAGCTCCATAAGAACTCTGTTTGAAAAGATTCTATGAGCCAGAGACAGACAGAAATGACCAAGAAGACCACATCCATCCTTTCCTGATTGACCAGATACTCTGGTACCAGATAAATTTGGTCTATCCTTTGCTTTTACAAATGCATGTTCATGAACAATTTGCTGCAGATAAATTTCACAACTAATACGATTAGGGAAGCCCCATTTGTTCTTAGGTGTATCATGTTTTCCTTCACCTAATTTGATATCATCAAATGAATTTAAAGGTACAATTGCAGGTTCTAAATTCTGGGCATTGACAGTGTCAACAGACTGATCATCACCCATAGATGGCACAAGTGATATGAACAGAGAGGTTCCTTGACCTATGCTTAATTGTAGATAATTTTCTCGTATTCCAGTTACATTAACTCCGACAGATTGGTTGAATGCTTCACGATTAACCATCTCAAACACCTGCACCAGAGAAAGATAATAATAAACAAATGAAAGCATATTAACGTCATAAAAAGACTAAGAGAAAGCAAAACCTACCTGATCATCAAAGATTGATTGATGAACTTCACGAAGGAGCGAATGTGTTTCTTTGACACACTCATCATCATTCATTGATTCTTTCTCCATATCCCTTGTGGGGTGCTCAACTGAGCCATGGGTCCTGATCTTACTCGATTCTTTTGGGGTATCAGCAGAATGCACACCAACAAAACCAAAATGAATAAAGCGGCATGAATTTGGAGGTAAGTTGATAGCCAGCATTCCAGCTGAATGATGTTCAACACGAATGGTAGATAGAAAAGATGGGCGAGACATTGCTGTCGAATCATATAATGAATTATCAAAAAGATCAATAGTGAAGCCATCATTGCTAGAAGCTGGAGCTGCCACTCGTTGTCTTTTAA